GGACTAAGGACAATTAGTACTTCGACTTTTAAGTATTGTATTTAAGTTATTTTAATCGTACAAATACGGTTGCAAATACGGTTATTTCAAAAAATGTGAAATGAGTATCGAAACATTTGAGCATAAATTTACTCTGCTAACTACCTTTCACGAACCGATTAAAAATTTACATTGCTGTCGCAAACTAAACAATTTGCATGTCTGGAATTTTTTTATAGCAAGCTCCGTTGAAAACAAGAGACAAGCGAGTTTTTAATCACACAACGAATCTGTCTCGTATCACCTTGTTTCCAAATTCTTGAGGTCTTACAAATTACTTCATTCTGAAGTGGGACTAACAGCGGTAATTGTCACTAATTGACAGCGAACAAGCATGTCGCACTTCAGCGACCACTAAGACAATCGAGTTTGACAGCTGTCGTACTTTTTTCTGTCTTGGTTGCGATCGTCATGAAATACTTATGACTAATGCAGTTTCGTCCGGCTCAGCAACGTCTATAAATACCGAAGACGTGTGAAATTAGTTAGGCAAAATGGACACTTCTAGCTGGCAGCTGATTTATGCTGGACGTGTTTGCAAATTTTAGCTGCGCCTGTAGGTTTCTGATCGTCCTGTAAACCTTGTTCTTTTCCAGTATAAACTGAGCGGAGTTTGAACCTGGTCGTCAAAGGTGCAATTTCATTGGATTTCTGAAAATACGGTACGCAGCTTTTCTGTTCTTTTTTTACGATCGTTTCTGAGATGTGTCGCGTCATCACTTTTGGCAGCATAGAATGTGACTTAAAAGCTGTTAAATTCTAAACGATAAATAAATTTTTTTTCATACATCTTAGCTTTGCCATGTGATCATAGCTGAAACGGAAGCGCTCTATATAACTCATTATACGTTTCTAATCCCTACGTTCTCCTTTAAAACGTTGATGATTATGCCAACAACATGGAATAGCAGCGATTTTCTAAATCGAATGACCTTTTCAGCCTCTTCATGGATTAGCGCCATATGTATTTGCAAATGTACTCAGTGCTAAGACCAGTTTTAATTCATTAGACACTGTCGAACCATCGTAAACTAAAGTATCATTCTCTCAATAGGGCAGACTGACCCCTTCCTATTCTTTCTAGTTTGAACGGAGGAAGAATTCGAACACACTCGCTTCATTCTCAAATATCTACTGGCGTTATCCCTACAAATATATTGCATTAACAGTAAAATGAACCTGAGCATGAATTGAATGTTTAGTTTGTCACCAATTTTGCAGCTAAATAATCATTAGGGAGCAATGCAATTGGTTATGGCTGGAGTTAATGACTCAGTACTTTGGAAGGCAGTTCCTTTCGGACCGAAGGTACGACTGCATATTGTAACTCGGTACTGTAGTACAGCTGTTTAATTTGTTGCCGGTGGAATCAAAATGCCGCTATTTTGTCCAGATCATCGCGATTATATTTTGTTTTGTTTCAGTACATTTGCCAACGAATAGTGGCAATTTTGCTGCTTCTGGAATATATTCTTTATTACCCAACTCAGCGACATCGTGCTCGCATAGTGCGCACTGCAAACCCTTAAATACAATTGAGATACGGCCAAGTTTTAATGGTTATCGTAAACGACTTGAAGGAGAGAGCTGTGCAATTTTGCGGCAGTGCCCTGTGTAATTACTCCCATTCATACACTCTGCAATATCGCCGTAAAGTGATTTGCAGTTTTCGTTATGCAAATCCGGTATCAATAGTTCGAAGATACTTACCGGAGGATCGGAAAGCTATCGCATACTATTCAGGCAATAGGCTATATTTTGTTGCGCAATTTTCTATATTCAAAGTTGTGAAAAGAAAAGAACACTTTTTGTTATGCTTCTATTTTTTAAATACGTTTGCCATTATAAATTTGTCATATGCTACTGCTGAACCTTTAAAACGTACAAGGAATTTATTCCCTCAATAGTGAGAAATTCATTCGGGATTTGTCTTCATCATCTTCTTTAACCAATTCACCTTACGAGGCGCAAAGGCAGACCGATCAGACAGTGTTTCCAACGTTCCCACTTCTGTCCCAGAGCTTGAACTTCAGCAGAAGACAACCAGCGATTAGAGCACACTACTTCGGATTATTTGCTCCAGGTTAATCTTTCCCTACCCGCTGGGTAGAAAATAGTTCTTCACCTTTCTCTCTAATTGCATTCACAATGCATGCCCAAACCATAACAGTTGTGATTTCTAACCTGAAGAAGCAGGATTGCGCGCCAAAGTTCCAGCGGATGTCCGTATTCCGAACCAATTCGAGATGCATAAGGCCATCGACTCGTCCCAGAAAGCCGATTTCAGCCAGATGTACTCGGGATTTGTCTCTTACCTTCTCTGATATGATTTGTTTGAGAAATACGCTTATGTTTTAAAATCATGACGCTCTGACGTTCATAATTATTTCTGGGAAATTCGGGTGAGTCATGCTCTTGCAGTCAATTTTCTGGATTGTTCTGATCTGAAAAACGCAACCACTGATGACGATACAAGAATTGAGATTTGGCCTTCCATTGATCGACCATGTTGTAGCGATGCACGAGCTGATTCGGAACGCATTAGTCCAAAATATATTCGCTGATGAGTCGCTCATTCTCAAAGTTGAAAGATAACAATTGCAATGGTTTGGCAACATAATCAGTTTGCCAGAGAAAAAACTCACAACTACGACTTTCTCGTTAAATGATATGAAGGGAGAAGTACAGTTAATGTCGCCCTTTATTCACGCGCATGACCGTAGCATTTTAGCGCGAATTTCTTCCTTTTCGTGAAGTTAATTTCGTAGTAATGATTTCAGTTTTTATGTTGCCAGCCAAGAGTACCTTATGGTAAGTGTTAAATCTAGAGTACCACTTGGCGTAATCCCGTTTTCTACAGACTTGAACACGTCTATTAACTTCTGAAGAAAAAAAAGGCAAATGACTCGACCGGGGCTTGAACTCGGGACCTGTCAGTTCTGAGTTGGACCCTCCACCGATTTAAAAACCCCACACTGATGACCTCCGATGAAGCAATGCATGATACATTTCTTGCTAAAGGAATTCATGAATAAAACAAGGCGGCCCCCCTGGCAGAATCAAGCCCTGCACTTCCGGAGTTCGAACAGACATCTTAAAACACTGTGCGAACGCACCAGATTGATCTCATCAGGTAAGACTAAGGAAAGCAAGAAAGAAAAACGAAAGTTTGTAACGTTTGGAATGTCTGTTCTCCGTAAAGATTTATATTGGGGCCATTGTAGTTCACTCCTTTCCATGATATAAACCCAATACAATACAATGCTGAGCACAGTTAATCTACTACTACGCGGAAATAACGTAGTTTAAGACAGGGTCTACAATCATCTGGCAAGTACTCCTGCTTCCTTTTTCGTTGTTTAAAAAATTTTTATGAATAAGGCAGAAATTGCCCTCGAGAGAAGCCGAATCTGGAATCCAGAGTTTCAAGCAGACCTTTTAAGCAAGGTGCTAACACGCCAAAAGGAAAGGCTCTATTGCCAGATGACCAAAACGTTTCATGCTTGATAATACGTACTTAATGAAGTGCTTTACTCTTTCACGATGGTGCGTGCCACAGGCCCTTCCTGCCAATTTTGAAATGAATTTTGCGAACGCACATCCATCACCGTTAGAACAATAACATTTCATTTATTTGAACGCAGTTTTAGCAAATGAATTCTGACTTTAATGAATTGAATAGCGAAGCTGAGTATCTCTAAACAATGAAGAAAATGCTGTCATTATCAAAATGGAAGACATCTCAGAAAATAACGAGGTTCCTTTAAATGGTTATATTCTATATACGCCTTAAGCATAATATTTATGTAAATTTAGTAAAACTGTAAACATGATCGTATGAGCTATTTAATATAACATAGAACTTTACTCATAATCGTTAATAATAAACTTATTATGTACAGCGACTCACACGTTAGATTATACTAAATTCGTCGTGCGGACGAGATTGCTCTCGATGGAACATCCGACTCATAGCCGAGGGATCGGCAGTTTGAGCTTTAATCAGATTAGTCGCTCTTCCTTCTTTCGAAAATATAAATTAGTAAAATATTTATGCTATGGTGAATTTCAAGCTGATATAACCTTAAAAGAGGCACTTATCGCGAATGATATAGAAAGGAAGATTCGCGCGTGACCAATGACAAAAATTTTGGAGAAAAACGACTTTTAATCATAAAAGTAAAACCGATATTCCAACAAATACAAAATTTCAAGTTCTTCAAAGAGTAAAATGGAGTCATTCAGAAGGCTCGACATTTTCTTAAATATATTCAATTTTCATGAAACATCACGTTGTTTTTCATAAAAAAATTTTTCTATTTAGTTATTTACACTGAATACAGCATAATTTAATGAGAATGACAGAACGTTACCAAATTTTTTACAAAGCGCACTTATTCTTTCAATCAGTTGCTCCTGCTCCTGTGTGCATATGAGCTAAACTAAGAGAAGCTAACCTGATAATCATGTTAGCCCTGTAGAAGCACCCTGCCGCGGTTATTTGCTCGACTGTTTTTTGACGCTTGTGGAAGGTGCTTATGATAATTTTATGGTTGATTGGTTGGGCCATTAACTATTCTCAGACAGGCAAGGTTCACCCATATAAAGTTACATATGGTTAAGCAGCCAGCCTCAGAAAAATGGTTCTGGAGCTTCTCTAATGCCAAAACTCTTAGATTAGACCAAGAGTATAATGACCAAAACAGTTTGAGGCAAACTCGACGGATATTTCTGAGTGACTGCCCGTTTCTGCTTTTCAAACAGACGTTTCATCCGTTGTTTGGAATATATTTTACCCTGGGTTAAAAAAATTGCTTTTTGACCTGTTTAACCGTTCCTGATGCGATCAGAGATGCACCAGTGTGTTTTAAACGCAACTTTAATTGATATTCAGTAATTATTGCACTAATTTCTCTAACGTTTTGGTTTTATTTTTGTCTGGTTGATATGCATTTTCAGTAATGGGACGACTGGGAGAAGTCTACACAATTCAGCCGGATCCATTTGGTCCGTCGACTACTCCAGTCTTGCTGCGCGTGTGCCTCTTTCGTGATGTGCAGAACCTGGCCGAGTTACGCAAGCGTCTGGATGCCGGAGATCTGTCTTGCAGCCTGCTCAGGGCTGATACGGTAAGCAAAGTATGGTTAGATAAGATATGTTAGCCATGACTGCCCAGGAATGAAACTTTCCTTTCGAGTAATACATAGGATCACTCTTCAGGGGTAGCTAAAAAAGTATTATGATTAAGAGGAAGTATGAGGCTAAACTCTATGCTGTAGATATACCTGTAGATGTTTTTTTATGAGTAGGTGGCTTTCCCGGCAGATGGTAGCGCAGAATAGTACGAACTGAATCATATGATCCTTCTCAAGTAAATATCATAAATTCTCTCGTTATAATCCGACTTCGCAGTGAAGAAACAAAACAGAATATATCAACTTCATGCTATCGTCTATTAATGTAAAAGACTGCATGATAAATCTGTCCATCATACCAACGTTTCTTTGAGTGGAGTATCGATAAACAACGGTAAGACGGAGGGATGATTCGGATAGAATTTTTTTCATGTGTCCTTTCCATCACTCTGAACGTAGAATGAAATTTTGCCTGGTCAGTAGCACAATTTTCTATTTTTGATTTTGCTGCAAATAGGCAAGAGTCTCGTTAATTAATTCGTTGCTGACTTCTTCCTTTATTTAGATTCTGGCCATGTTCCAACTACTAGTTGCGGCGAATCGCGCATTGCACTACCAGGCGCAGCAGAAGATGAAGACCAAAAGTATTCACACGGAATTGGTCTACTCGCTATCACCAACAAAAAACGTATGATGGCTTTTACGTTAACCAATTAAATAAATTAGCAAAAAATGATTAACATTCAGTTTAAAGATTCAGACCGTCAGTCACCAATTGCTACCTATCTTGTTGTCAGTATTTCGCGTAGTGACGTCGAATTTACTGCTATATCTCAGTAAAGCCAGTAGCGATGTGTCTTGTTATTGAGGTAGGGTAGTGGCGGTGGGTGCAGGGGGCAGTAGCGAAATGCGTTAATAGGTTGTATGTAATGCATGTTAGAGTACGGGTAAATTTTCTGTGGACTATTAATTCCATTCAGAAAGGAATTTTCTCCATCGTGCTTCGGGACAACTAGCCGGAAAACGATTGCAGGTGGTCGTTGACCTGCGAATATTAGGGACAGCATACAATTTTGCTGTGTTAATGGGACAGCGTACGAGACATATGGCTATGAGACATGTGGCCTTACGATTGCAGTTCGCCTTGACGCACATGATAGCAGACTAAAAATCAGATCAAGGTGATAATGTCGATTTAATTTTAATCCTGTGGCTTGCTTTGGTAGTTATTCTTACTGAAAATCAAAACTTTTCCTTCCTTCGCGATCGCTTCTTCCTTTCCTCTCTTCTTTCCTTCCCCAGTTATCTCGCCCTCCCCCGCTTTCTTTTCTTACTTTCTTCTATCCACTCTTCCTTCCATTCCTCCCTCCTTCGCTATCGCTTCTTCCTTTCCTCTCCCAATTGTCTCTCCCACCCCGCTTTCTTTTTTCCTTTCTTCTATCCATTCTTTCTTCCATTCCTCCTTTCTTCGCGATCGCTTCTTCCTTTCCCAATTATCTCTCCCTCCCCCGCTTTCTTTTATCCATTCCTCCTTTCTTCAGATGGTTGTATTGAAATAGTTTTATCGTCAAGTCTGTGAAATGTGAACTTGAACTGATATTCCTGAAGGTCCGTAGTCTTGTGTTTGAGACTGCATCATTGTTCTAGACGAGTTCATTTTCGTATGAAGGGCAGCGATCCAACGCTCACAGACAGTCACAGACTTTCCGAGCACGAAGCCACAGGTGACATCAGTATCTCTGATGAAGGCACATTGAGTTTAAGTTTTTAATTTGCTCAGAGCTTAGGGACTAATGCCAAGTTTGGTCTCTTATTTGCCTCGACCTGATTATCTGAGTGAAAACGGTATTTGAAACGGGTTATGTAGGATAGATGTTAATATTAAGCACATTCAGTTGATGATAAGTTAATATTGTAAGAAATACAAATTATTATTTTAGATATCAGAATCGTTACAGACGTTCGGCGCGAACGACTCGACGAAGGACGTGATCGTCGCCGTATTTGGTGACAAAAGCGGCTCCGTAATGAAAGACATAGCCAAAGTGATCAAAGGCAAGGCCGTTCCCCTGCGTACCCTCGGTGATGTTTCCAACTCTGATTTGATCAAGAAGGTGCGACAACAACCAAGTTGACATTTTCGTGTAAACAGGCCTTTTCCTGAAATATGCTGTTAATCGTTACCCAACATCCTGAGGTTATTTTACTGTTTTGAATCAAGCTAGTAACTAGTCCAGTATGCTTGACACTTTTCATCAGGGTTGCCTGCAGAAAATGGTTCCACTGAATAA